GTATATATCGACGTCCTCCCCAACCTACGAGAAAATAACAACGAGGTTAGTACATAGATTAATTAAAAAGCTTATAACAACAACAAAAATTAAACCAGAATAATGAGTCCGTACCGCTTGAAATTCATCAACATAAACTCCTTCTCCTTGCCACCAATCGGCCATTTTTTCGGCGCAATTCGGACAGAGCTTCGGCTCGGCTCGGCGGGTTTTGAGGAAAAAACCTAAGAAATGTTTTCTGATGGTAGATCGGACTTAGCCGCAACCAACAGACCACTATTTCCTAGGCTTTTGGGAGGGGGAGGGTTTAGAGAGATAAATTGTAGAGAGAGAAGGAAGAATGGGTTGTGGTATGAAGAAATGAGAGGGGAAGGGGGGTATTTATACCCATCAGACCGCACCCTCCAGGGGCGGTCTGGTAAATTTGCCCTAAGCGAAACCGCTGCCCTCCCAACGCGTTTTGCGCTTCCCTAGGCTAGACCGCATCTCAGGCATGCGGTCTGCTTTCCTTGGCGCGGATCGCTCCGCTGGCAAGCGCTCAGCCGCCCGATCCCACCTCCATCCAACGGTCTTCAAGACCGTTCCGCAGCAGCAGTAAATCGCACCCCCAGAGTGCGTTTTCTGAAGTGGAACGCACCCCTAAGATGCGTTTTATAAGTAAACCGCACCATAAAACGCATCTTAGGGGTGCGTTCCAAAAAAAATGGTGCTATTTCTGTCAATTTTTTCATATGGGTGCTAGTTTTGTATTTTTTTTTTTTTAAAGGTGCTATTATTGGAAAAAACTCTTAGCACCCCTGCAATTCCAGGAGAAGACTTTAATCATAGAAAGAGTTAAAGAAACTTCCCTGACATGACCAGAAGGTCAGGATGGAACATTGTCGACGGCAATTGCCGTCTCATCCTCCTTCAACTCCCCTTTGGCATCATTTGCTTTTGGTGGAGTAGCATTTTCTGGCTTTAGGACCTCCTTCCCTGGACTGGCTTTGAAATCCAGCTTCCTGGGTTGGTTAACCCCATTTTCTGGAGGTTGTGATTTTGGCTTCCATCCATCTTTAGTTTCTTTCCCAGGGGACATGCCTTTCATCTTTGGTTGGTGCCCTTTTATGGCACCAACAGACGAAATTTTGCCCTTCCCTTGTTTTGTGTCACTGCTGCTGGTTTTGCTTGTTTCACCTTGACTCTGCGACTGTTTTGGATGGGCAGGTAATCCCTCTTCCTTTTTCTTCCCTGTCTTTATCTCTTTAGCTGGATTGGCGGCTTCCTACTGAGGCTTCACAATCTGTGTCCTGCTCACTGTTTTATGGATGTTATTTTCAGGGGTGGTCTTCTGGTTTCCCTTCCTGTTCATTTCCTTGCTGTGTTTATCCTCCCTTTTTTTCTCCTTTGACTCTTTCTCTTCTTCCTGTGGAGTATCTCTGCTCTTCTTCCCCCCTTGTTTCTTTTCTTCTTTCTTCCCTTTATCTCCACCTTCTGTTCCATCCACCTCCATCTGGTCTGCTTGTTTCGCCTCCCTCTGATCATTCTGTTCTTGTTCTTCTTTTACTTCCTCCCTTTCCTCATTTCTATCTTCTTCTGCCTCCAAAGCAGTAAACCGGGAGCCTGAGGCATTCTTTCATTGTTCTTCCTTCTTGTTGTTGTTTTCAGTTTTTTTCATTGTCTGTCTTCTTCTTCTGGCCCGTGTAGCCAGCATCCAGGGTCCAAAGTCCTCAGTAATTTCTGGTCTGACTTCCAGGTTTTTACTAGGTATCATTTCTTTCACGATTAGAATCTCAATTGAATTTTTTTCTTTGAACAAACCGAATGGAGCATCTCACCATCTTTTTTCTCATCTATTTTTCATTTGGTAAAATCACCCTTCACAATCCACTTTTTACTTTTACATCAATTAACTAACCCTCAAGAACAGAGAAAACAAACCTAGTAAACCAAGAACAAATTGCAGTAAAAGACCCCCCTTCCCTTTCATCACACCTCTCCGCCACCAAAAGCCCTATGTTTTTTTGAGAATTCAAAAGCCCTCTATTGGCTAAATTATATGTTTGGTCACTCAAATTATGCAAATCTTTCATGTTTGCCACCCGAATTACTTTTCTTTCTTATTCACCACTAACTTTACGATTCGTTTCATCGTTAGTCACCCGCTGAACCGAACCTCGATCCACATTCATCAAAGAGATACAACCATCTCTCTAGGTTGCACACCCCCCTTTAGATCGTTCTATTCGTGCTTGAAAAACGACCATCACACTCCGTTAAATTTGTCCTACGTGGTAGTCAACTATAAAGTTTGACCGTTAACTAGATGACATGGAAATTTTAAAAAATAAAAAATAAAAAATTTATTTTCCACTTCTACCATTCCAGTTTTTTTGTCTATATGATTTATCATATTACTTATTTAATAAAAATTAATTAAATTACATAAATAAATTATCAGCCCGGTAATCTCCTCCGCTAGGGATAACATCGGACTAAGGAGAGGCCTGGATAGGGCATGTAAAAATGCAACGGTTCCTTTAACATTAGTCCCAACGGAGCAGCCTCGACATGTGAAAAAGCAACCGAAAGTGGAGGTCGAAGTGATAGAGATTTTGGACTGTGAAAGACGAGCCTATCGAGACCGAGATGGTGACAGTAAAAGTTATGACTGCTGAAGTGTCGGGGACGATTGAAGAGAAGCCAGTTGGGGCAGAGACGACGACAAATGTAAAGGGTCTCGTGGAGGCAGAGACGGCGACATAAGAAGAGGAGCTTGTACATATTGATGCCGAAGAGACGGGGGCGAAAGATGAAACAGCCGGAGCGGCCGACACGGCTACGACAACGACGACGAAGGAGAAAACAGAGTCTGTCGAGTCTGAGGTGATAGTGATCTAGGCGAAAGGCTATATAGCCGTGAGAAGAAACCGAGCGAGCCAAAGATCCCGGAATACTGATGCAAAGTATCATCGACCCCGTGTGTGTAATTAGGCTAGGGACAAAACAAATTAGGGGTTTTGGCTATTTTTAAAAGAAGGAAAACTGAAGTCAAAATCGATGAAGGAAGGAAGAAGACGAACTATTGGGCTTAAGAAAGACTTGGCTGGATGAAAATGAAACAAAGAGAACTAATTTCCTTTGATTACCCTAGCCTTGAATTATGGGATTGCAACTCTGATTTTTTGCCCAACAATGTGGTGGAAGACGGTGAGTTCCCAGAAGAGAAGGGTTACTATTTGGTTGGTAGAACTTAGGTAACCATAGCGTGAAGCGAGAACGAGAGCGTTAGAGCGTTAATTTTTGGAGAATTCAATATTGAAAGCGTAAAAAGAGCGTTATTATTATATTATTTTAATTAATAATTTATTTTTTCCTCAAAGCATTAGATAAAATATGAGAATCTTACAAATTTATTATTAGTAATGTTGTGATTATTCAGGTAAAAGAATGTTCCTTATTCATTTACCCCACTACCAATTCAATTAATTAAATTAGATTATTAATTAACCGAACCTTTGCCATTATATACACGAACACCAAAGAAAACACATATAGTTATTAATATTATAAACGATAAAAGGATAAAAACTCATAAATAGTAAATCTTCCCACATCTATCATCGTTTCTCACTCACCTAAAGCTAAAATGTAAACGTCACCGTATGCAATTCTTCTCTTTTTTTTTCTTTTTCTTTGTTTTTGTTAAAAAGAGACAATCGTGTCTCTGTGCAATTCCCAGTCCGAACAGAGACGAAACGGAACCCATGCTCGGAATCCGCCTAGAAGCTAGCTTCTCCTGTGGCGGGACGCCGGAGCAAGGATTTCCCGTCCAGCCGTCCTAGCTCAGGGGACCAATCCCCTCCTCGACGGCTCCGATTAGATTTCGGTTATCACCGACGTCCTCCTATCTTCAGATACTGGTACTCGTTTATTTAGCTTGATCCCACCGGCACCGACGACTGAGACCTCATCAAGAAACGTAACCGCTGCATCCCCCTCCTCGCCGATCAAGCTTTCAAGCTAGCAGAGAAAGATGGGAAAGCTTTTTCTTCTTATATTCCGGATCCGTGCTCCAGAGAATTGAAATTCGCGCTCCCATAAAAATAGTTCGCGAATTAATCCCGGATTGGCGACGATTCGCAATTTCCACGTGCTAGAGCGGGATCGTGGAGGCCCACCCAGCGAATTGGGTAACCTAAGGTAGAACGATGGTGACCTCCGTTTCAACAGGAAATTGGGAAACGACGACAACCTTCTAGAGAACTGACTGCCAAGAACTCCCTCCGCCTTTTCCCATCGCCGTATAAATCGAAATCCCCTGCCCATTTACTTCTCGTTGCAGCGAAGGTTTGGGAACTGGCTAGTTCGAGAACTATCACGATTCACGGTTGCCATTTACTTCCCCGTCCATTTTCTTCCCAGCGCCCATAATTTATTTTTCAATTTAATTAATTTTTATTAAATAAGAAATATGATAAATCATATACACAAATATCTGAAATGATGAGGCGGAAAAATATTTTTTAATTTCCACGTTATTTAGTTAACGATCAAACTTTATAGTTGACTGTCACATATAATTTATTTAAAGAGAGTGTAACAGCCGGTGACTAATGGAGAAACGATTCGTAAAGTTAATGGCAAATAAGAAAGAAATGGGGGGCAAACGTGAAAAATAATATAATTCAAATGACCAAACATGTAAGTTAGTTTTTTTTGGTGAGAGGGAAGATACCATATTCCTCCGGAAGGAAACTTGATTCAATCTCATCCGTCCATCCATGACGATCATGATTCATGACAAATTCAATCCACCACAAAGAAAAAGAAGAAGAGGGGGGCAAGAAAATAAAAAAAAGGGAAAGGGACAGCAGCTTTGCTTCAAAATCTGTGCTGCTGGGGTTTGACCGTCGTATTTCGTACTCTCTCCCTCTCTCGTCTCTCTCCATAATTCCCTTCCTTCTTCTTCCTCCTCTCTGCCTCTCGTAAACTAATTGAAAAAGAGAGGGAGATAATAATAATAATAATAGGGACAAAACCCCACAAAAAAAAAAAAAAAAAGCTCGCCCGAAAGTTAATTGTTTTTTGGGTTCCCAATTTGCTCTGTTCTCCCTCTCTCTCATCATCATCAATTCAATCATCACTCCTTTTCTCTTCCTCGTTTTATGATTTTTGTTCTCTGCAAAAGACAGAGCAGCAACCACAGATCGCCATCACCCTCCGCCAGCTCTCACTGACTCTCCCGCATCTTCTCCTCTAAGGACTGGACTGGATTGGATTGAATGAAGCAGTGATTGCCTAAACCGCCACTGCTCTCTCTCTCTTTTTTCCCTTCTCCGATTGATACTTACTCAATCCTCCCGCCGCCTAGGGCTCCTTTTCTCTCTCTCTACGTAAGTCTTCCAATCTGTCCGCTTTTGATTATGTCCCTCTGCCACCTTCGCTTCACTGGCCTGCTTGTTCTTTTCTTCTCTCCCGAAGCTGCTATCTACTGGCGATGCATGTATCAATATGTGGTTTCTCTTCGGGATTGTGCTTACTCTGTTTTCCCTCTGCATCTTACTTCACTTCTCACCTTGGTCTTTGTAATTTTAGCGTTTCTGAACAACCATTTTTTCTCTGCTTGCAGGGAACTCAACTGTTGAATTCTTTTTGTTGGGGACTTGAGCAATACCCAGCTAGTGGCTTCCTCATATACCGAGGGTACACTTTCGAGTTCCCTATTCCTTTTTTTTCCCTTCTTCCCTTTTTCGTTTGTTGGTCTAAGGGAGAACATGAATGGTGCTTGCTCAGATTCACAACAATTAACCACTTTTTTTTTATTTCGTTGCTACTGGTCTTGGTCAGTTCCTTGCTTGCATGTTTCGGAGATTCTTACCTTTTGGAAATGTTATTAGATTTAACTTCCTAAACTTGCTTTTCAGTGAGGAAGGTCATCCTTTTCATCACTTGCATACTGCCTTCTGCCATTCTACTTTCCTTTTCCTGGTTTTGTTTTTATTGTTTTTGCATTTTTGTCAAACGGGCATGGTAAACTGCCAGGAACTATTGTTCCTTCTCCTGCTGGGGGCTTTTGCATGCAATGCATCAACCTTGAATTTTGGCTAATGTGACTTTCATTGTTAGGGATAACGGTAGGACGATTCTTTGATTTGGTTGGTGGTAGTTGGCGCAATTGTTTACGATTGAAGATTTTTCTGATTGTTCTAAAGTCTGTTGTTTGCTTGGTTCTCAAAGTTGATCTTTTGGGCAGTCTATGGTCTGCATTTGGTTGATGTTTAATTTGATTTATTAATAACCAGTAGTTTTACAGAGTCGAAATGCAGGGTAAACGAGAAGAGTAGTAAAAGAGAACCACAACCATAGAAGTGAAGAACCTCGAACAGTAGATTAGGGGACCAGCTGCGTTTGAATAATTAAATTAGGGATTTTGCGATATATTATTGGGTTGTAATGTGAGATATTCTTAGAATTTGAAATGCGAGGGACAAAGGAGAAGAACTGACCTCGATGTTTGATGTTGTGACTTTGAGAATCCAGGGTCTTTGAAATGCCATAGGAGCTTTAATTTTTATTACCAATCTTTTGCCAATACTCATTTGAATGTATGTATATGTTATTTGCAGGGCACAAGTTGGATACTATAAGCAAATTCAACAATGGACCCTAATGGTGGCCAAAAAGTGAAGCGAAGGAATCCACTTGTGCATGAAAATGGTGATTTCGCACTTTCTAGCCTCGGTGATGTAGACCCATGGACTGCATGGGCATACAAGCCACGCACCATCTCGCTTCTACTTATTGGTGCATGCTTCCTGATGTAAGTTCCTTGCCAAATCATTATGTAATTTTTTAAGTTCGTTTGGTGCAAGTCTTCTTACTAACCGATTTGTGCATGGTTGAAATAGTTGGGCTAGTGGAGCGCTTGACCCTGAGATCAGCACAGGTGGTGATGTTGTTACGTCGGTGAAAAGGTTGGGTCTCTGCTTTATAACATCACTTGAGATTGTTTGTTGTAAGGATCCAGCCTTCAGTATTTTCTACACTCTCTGAATTTCTTTTTGTGAATCTCTCTTGTAGAGGTGTATGGGCTATGATCGCAGTTTTTCTTGCTTATTGCTTGCTGCAAGCTCCATCAACGTAAGTTTTTTTTTTTTTGTAATGATTTGGCACCTTCTGTTATACACTATGTTTAGCTGCTTGTGTACCCTGTTATTTTAAAGACTTTTGGGGACACCAAACATGATCGCTCACTTACTGATCAGGCGATCCTTGTTTAGCCTTGATAATGTTGATGGTTATCTGTCTCTAAGGTTTCAGATTAACTGCATCTTGTTTGTATGCAATACATTATCTTGCAAAGTACTACTCTAGCAGATTGTGTAGCTTGAAATTCTGCATCTTGTTAAAGCCGCCACTGTAAATACTTAATGAAACGAGTAGTGGATTTCATCATTAGGAAAGAAGAATGGATTCTGAATAAGTGTTTTAGTTATCTGTGCACTAAGAACATTTGAGAATTTATGTTGCAGGATTCTTATAAGGCCACATCCAGCACTTTGGAGGCTAGTTCATGGCATGGCTGTTATCTATCTTGTCTCCCTCACTTTTTTGCTTTTTCAGGTACACAAATTAATTTCTGACATGTAAACTGGAACTCTTTCTTACTTACTCTCTTGCATATTTCTGTTGCTTGCATTTGGATATGCCTGGCTGTTATATTTATTGAGTTGTGGTAGTCTTGTCAGGTGTGCATCTTTATCAGTAAAATCTCCTTTATCTCTATCGGGAAATCATCTTCCTATTTTCTCCATGAGATTAATGGCAAAGTTTTTCTCTTTTACAGAAACGTGATGATGCTAGACAGTTCATGAAATTCCTTCACCCCGATCTTGGAGTGGGTAATGATTTTCACTCACAAATCCAATTGATAGGCTCTAGTTTGCTCTCTGATGACTTACCCTTGAAATAGACAAAGTTTCTTTTACTATTGGTATAGTATTCTGATATAAACTGTGCTTTTATGCAGAGCTTCCTGAAAGGTCTTATGGAGCAGATTGTCGCATTTATACACCTGAAAATCCTACAAGCAGGTTTAAGAATCTTTATGTATGATTTCTTCTTTCCCGACTTTCCTTTAGAGCACTGTACTGAGGGGTGCCTTTGCCTGAGTGACTTTTGTTTTTGCCTTTTTTCTCCATTGGTTTTACTGGTAGCACAAGTTTTATACCCAAATGTCATTGCGGCATCATTTTGTTTGGTTTGTCCAGGACACATTTTTCGATGAATTTGTTCTAGCTCATATTTTTGGATGGTGGGGCAAGGCTATACTCATCCGCAATCAGCCTCTTCTTTGGGTGTTATCTGTTGGATTCGAGTTCCTAGAGGTTAGTTGGTCTGCTAATTCTTGCTGTCTGTTTGGTTTCTCAATTTCTGTGTGTGTTTGCTTTTAGCTCTTGGACAACAGTGCTAATTAAGTTCTCTGGCACTCTCAGTTTACTTTTCGCCACATGTTGCCAAATTTCAATGAGTGCTGGTGGGACAGTATCATTCTCGATATACTGACATGCAACTGGTTTGGTGAGACTTCTTGAACAGTTGATGTTCATTACTTCCTTTTACTCTTTTTGCTGTTCCGTGGAACTTCTTTCTGATTGATATTTCTGATAAGGTGACAATTTGAGGCAGCTGATTGAGAAAGATTTCTATATTCTAGATACTATTATTATATACAGCTTTGTATATTTGGTGTTTAGTGCTATAGTTTCTAAATCAAATTGATAGTGTAGCTACGTGGGATATTGTCAGCTGCTCTCAGATTGAAATATGCTTTTTAACCTTCAACGTACATTTGTTTTAGGAAGTTGATAAAGTTTAGTCAAACGGTGCAACCTCTCTGGCTTTCCTAGTTTGTCTAGTTATTAGGTCCATGAACCTTATTAGGTTTACGTGTCTACACTCTGATCTTCATGGAGGACAGATATATGATCTTGTTAGCTAATTCCTTTCTCATCTAGTTGTCCATAATGATAGTGCATTCATAATATCAGTCATTTGTGATAAAGTAATCATTACTCATCTAAAGAGGATCATGAAGTAATTGCTAAGCAAGACTATTAGGGACCATAGTAGTCAATGATAAAGCATTTCTTAGCAGATTCGGGATAACCATCTAGATGTCTCAATCAAGTTGAATTTGCGTTCTTCACCTGGTTTAGGCTGCAAATATTTGGCTGACACAAGAAAGCTAAATGTGCTACTTCTAGTAAATCTAGTTCGTAAGGATCAATAGGAGTCTTAATTTGGGCGTTGGATGAGTGTGAACCTATAATGGTAAATGAGGTATAATCTGCTGTGTTGTCATTCCCCCCCTACCCAAAAAAAGCAACACACATGCACACAGATTGTCTGGTTGATTCTGGTTTATGATTTCAAATGTTTGGCTAACATCGTATGTATTTCACAGGTATTTGGGCAGGTATGCGTACTGTAAGGTACTTTGATGGGAAAACGTACGAGTGGATTGGTATTAGCCGGCAGCCTAATATTATGGGCAAGGTATGTCTTCTCCTTTATCGCAGGTGCACTGCACGAGCTTCTTACACATACTATGGATCTGTAGATGCTTCCTTCTTGGTTGTCTAAGAATTGAAGTGTGAACATAATTTTTTGTTTGGTTTCTTATTTCTTTGTGAGAATGATAAAATATGATCCTGATACCATTTTCTGCCATATCAGCTACAGACAGTGATTATATCTTCTGAATTGCTTTATTGTTACTTGGTGCTTGCCAGGTGAAACGAACACTTGGACAATTTACACCGGCACAGTGGGACAAGGATGAATGGCACCCTTTACTTGGTCCGTGGCGTTTTCTTCAAGTTCTGACCCTGTGCATAGTCTTCCTGACAGTAGAACTGAACACATTCTTTCTCAAGTTCTGTCTTTGGATCCCTCCACGCAACCCTGTGATAATATATAGATTGATCTTGTGGTGGTTAATTGCCATACCAACAATCCGTGAATACAATTCCTATCTTCAGGATCGGTACTCTCTCTCTCTCTCTCTCTCTGTCTCTACTGTTTGCCTGTGATTGTACGACGAACATAAGTTAACTTCTTACACATACTATGTGATCTTTTACAGGACACCGTTTAAAAAGGTTGGAGCTTTTTGTTGGCTTTCCGTTGCAATTTGCATTATTGAGCTTCTCATCTGCATCAAGTTTGGACATGGTTTGTTCTGTAACCATACTGAAGCTCCTCACTTTCTTAAATTCTGAGATTTTTACATGAGGCTGGTAATGACTTATAGCTTCCTCTTACTCAGGTTTGTATCCAGCTCCTATGCCTAGGCTGTTAGTTGTCTTGTGGACTGGTGCAGGCGTTACCCTGGTAGCATTCGTGCTTCTATGGTCATGGCAATTGCATCGAAGAAGTCGTGAGAGAAAGAGACGATGATTTCTCATAGTGGTTTTGCTGGTAGTCGCTCACTCTATCTTATTGTTTTTTTGGCTTGTCATAGATGGTGGGTTTGGGGTAGGGTCTTGTACATACCCTGTCTCTCTGCATAGAGAAACTGTAAATGCTGATATATCTTGTTGGATCTTTTCACAGTTCCTGAGATTAGCATAGAGAATCACATTGATAGAGTTGTTTCTGCATAGGATTTCTAGTCCTTTGAGTTGCTAATTTGAGCGCATCGGTAAATTGGGTTGTCTGTTCCGTTCAGAGTCGTGTGTGTCTTAGGCTTTGAACACGAATATGGGATTTGGTGAACAAGGTTTCTGAGGAAGTACAGATTTGAGTGAAGCTATAGCCTTTGTAGGAGGCATTCATGAGTGTTTGATTTGCTGAAGAAACGATGTGGCTTGGTTTGATGTTTTTTTTATCCCCATGGAAGGTGATTTTACTGCTGAATGGAATTGATTTTTCACATGTATGACGGTGAATGTCCGGTGTATGTTATGGTAGAGTTGGTGCCGGACTGTTGAGGAGGGCCTTCCATGTCTGGTTATTTGTAAGCATTTCGGTCCAAGTATTCCCTAGGGCAGTGGAAGTATATAATCTGGAAGAGGTTTAACAAGAGAGTAGTTAGTATTGCCTTTGGAGTGGATAGGTATAGCAATATTTTTTTTATTTTTATTGATAGTTATTCTTAAGTAAAAAGTGGAATAAAAATAAAAGGTCTACAAGAAATTAGTGGGCAGCCTAGATATAATTTGGACTCCCACTCCCTTAGCGATAGTAAAGTTAAGTCTAGCGAAAATGTACGTGGCTACACTAGTCCCCGCATCCTGAGACACGGAGAATTTATGGATGCGCTTAAGCAAAGACACCAACATCTGTATCCAACTCCCCCAGCGAAGAGAAAGAAAAGGGCAGGAACTCGTAACCAGCCGTCATGTACAAGTCTCGATACTTAGCACACTTTCGCTGAGCGGCTTTAGCTACAACTCGGCCCGACACAAAATCGGTCATCCCAGTCTGAGTTAAAGGGGAAGACCCAGTCAGATCAATACACACATCTCAAGCTGTTAGTCCCAAGTAACCCAATTTTAAGCGTTCAGGCTATTTCTGTTCCCCCCTCAACAGTGGGTTCCATCCTTTATTCCTTTACATCTCATTGATTCGTGCGCCATTCGATACTGAGAGTAATCTCGATAAAGTTGATGGAAAATGGAAGAAGATAAAGTTGATGGAAAATGGAAGAAGCTCAATAGTGTCATCGATGGATAAAGGTAACGATTCAATCCAATTCATTCACTTAAATATCCAACTAATCCAATCCATTTGGCACTTATATTTTAAATTTTACAATTTGGTACATAAAATTTATTTTTAAATGAAAATTATGATTGAAAAAATATGTTTTGACACCTAATTTTTTTTGTTTGTACCTCTTTAGTACCTAACTTTTCAAAATTTCTATATTGATACTAATCCGTTTGATTCAATCCATAAATCCATTTGATCCAATTCGATTCATGAATCCATGAATTCAATTCACCAATCTATTTGCTACCTGTAATAGATATAACAAGTGGGAAGCGTTTATAATGTACTTTATCGATGGATACATTGAAGGTGAAGGCAAATGGAAGAAACTCCAGAAAGAGGTTTTAGGGAAGGATGCATCTCGATCGTATGCAGTTGTGGGAGGATGCATAACTCATGAATTTGTATTTGTTTACAATAAGATCCGATCCCTTGATTTTGAGTAAGACAATATTTGATGGATGATATTAAAAAGTCTTTGAATTTATGATATTTTTCATCGATTTGTATTTCTTTTTTAAATTTAGAATTTGAATTTTTTTTCCACATAAATAACGGGTTATTGTAATCTACAAAATCATATTTATAATTGATTTGTATTTCTTTTGTAAATTTAGAATTCGAAAAAAATTTCACATTAATAACGGGTTATTGTAATCTACAAAATCATATCTATTATTGATTATATTTCGGAGAAAAATTTTCAGACCACCCATTATCTTTTTCATTTCTATTCAAAATTTGAATTTTTTTTTTACAGAAGTTACGAATTTATCACGATATATGAAATTATATAGATTCTCTACATACCACTGAAATTGATTTTGGTACGAAATAAATCACCCTTTATTATAGTGGGTAGATGGTGGCTAAATACTCCATTCTTACGGTATGGTATATTTCTACTTTCATGATACACTTCTATACTACGAAGCGAAGGTCTACCATCACTGTATATAATGATTAAATACTCACCTCGATTAATGCTTGACATTTTACTCCAAAAAATATATAAAAAAAATAGATGTAATTTTGAAGAATATCACTAATTAACTTGTACAATACAATTTAAAATTCGAATAAAAAACGAAAAAAGATATAACATTTTGATGAGAAAAAATAACCTCAAGTCTCGTGAACTGAAAAGAAAATAATACAATAAATCTTGAAAAGAAAAGAAAAGATACAACAACAAGAGTAACACTTTTTTCCCCCCAAGCAACCAAAGGGAACAAAATAGTGATCTTTTCCCATGTGACATGATCACATATATATATATCCATTACAACGGATCCAGTTGGTGATACGAGCTGGATCTCTGGATATTCAATTCCTTGTATATAATATGTATATGAAACTTGGAATCCTCCTAGCTACTTTTGTATATATAAATATATGGATGAGTGAGTCAGTGTGAGAGTGGAAGGTGGAGGCGCTTCTTCCACACGGTCTTCCCCCTGACGATCTCCTCGCCTCCTAGTTTGTGGGCCCGCAGCAAATGGGTGTAGGAGGTGGTGGTGTCCAAGTCCAAGTCCAAGTCCAAGGAAGGCAGCAGAGAGAAGCCGTTCAAGATGCCGATGTTGTTGTTGTTGCTGCCGTTGAAGGCATTGTGAAGGTGGAGGTTGATCTCGTCTTCGTCTCCGTCTTGGTCTTGGTCGGGATGGCACAGCGACTCCACCGTGTCCGACCTCCCGCATTCCCTCCTGTACTCCAGTATGATCCCCGACAGCTGCCGGGACTCCAGGAACTGGTCGGGGATCGCCTGCAAAAATGTTGTTTTGTTGTTTTTATTTTTATTACGTGATTCGGAAATTGAAAACAACCCTAGCTAGCTAGGTAACTTAGATATATATACCTCGAGCATCCAGTTGACGTATTTGACATTGTTGACATGGTGGTTCATGTCCAAGTCGCTCCTCCTTGGCTGCGGGTTGCAGAGTGAGTGAGTTAGGAAGAGAGGTTATAGGGAAAGAGAGGTGAGATTAATTAGAAGGAGAAAGAACCTTCAAGTCGGTGTTTCGATATTTGGCAGTGGTGTCGAGCTTGAGGATTTTGGCGTCGTGAAGTGGTAGGGGTATGGCTTGCTTGTGGATGAACCAGGGCGAGATCTCTTGCCTCACCTCCTCGGGCATCTTGGACAGCCGCCTCGTCTTCTCGTTCATCATCACCCACGTGCTGTACGTTTCGTTTCATTCAGGCATTTTCAGCAGCAAAGCAAAGCAAAAAAAAGGTGAAAGGTACATACCTGGTGGCGCGGGCAAAGACGTGGCCGGTGGCTTGGCTGCGGATGAGCCAGTCCCGCCGCATCCCGTTCTTGCCTGACGCTCCCACCCACGTCTCTATGTCCAATACCTCTCCCCTTTCATACCATCCAATTTCCCCCCCAATTGTTAGCCCAAATTAAACATACCAACAAAATTGGCTAAAATGGGTGACCCATTAACGCTTGACCCATTAGTTCGACTGGGTCTGGGTCAACCCGCGGATTGATATATAGGAATCATAATGATAGTGCATGAATGTGTTGTCTTCTAGCTGGCTACCTACCTAGCTACCAGCATCCTCAACAAAGTTGTCTACTTACTTACTTAGGCTTTGACACCAGTACTACTGATTAAGGTGTCTTTTAGCTAGCTAATTAGTTGTCGTCACGAAGAATTCGATGTGTTCTATGCTAATAAATTCCTGCACAATTAATTTTGTTTAAAATTTATGAAAAGAAGAAGAAGGGATTTCTTGGAAACCAGCGCCGTCAGATTATAACCACATAATTGGCCGAGGACAAAAACTCTTGTGATCATAAATAAATAATAATAATAGTAATAATAATAATTACAAGCAATAGCAGAGAATTATGTGCTTATCATGTGTATTTCTTTTACCATCTCTCCCTAAACTGTAACTTACTTATGTTTCAATTGCAAAATAATCATTTTCTACGAACTTACCAGATGGGGTAATTGTCGACCTGAACTTGCATTCTGGAGACGACCCAGATGAGGTTGTTCCTTACCATTCCATGCGTTGCACCAAACCCATTCCCCAGCAATCCCGACATCCACACATGATTCAGCGCCGTTTCCTGCTCCACCACCACCACCATCATTATTATTATTATTATTATATAATCACAACCGATGATGACAAGTGAAGAAAAAAAGCAGGCAGGCACCTGAAGGAGATTAAGGATGCTGTCAAGCGTGGCGGTCTTGTCAGGGCCGACTTCATACGACCTGACCACCACAGTCTGCCTGTAGGCAACACCATTCTCAATCATCAGCCCTTGCCTGTGCCTGTCCACCCACTTCTTCTCCCTCGGTATGTTCTGCCTCTTCTCCTCCTCCGCCGCCACCGCCACTCCCTGCTGCTGCTGCTGCTGCTGCTCACGATCAACCCTCACTGCAGAAGACGAAGAAGATGTTGCAGAGGTGGCCGACTTCACGCCCTTCACCTTCACACTAGTACTGCCCATCTTTCTCTGCTGCCTGCTGCCTTCTAATTCGCACCTCGCCAGAGGCAGACGCAAGGAGATCGCCTGGCAAGACAAGGCAGACATTCTCTCTTCCCTTTGCTAGACTAGACTAGATCAGTACAAGACAGAGCTGCCGAATGTGTGTTTCCACTCTCCCTATATATTCTCTTCCTTTCCCTTCTTGTTTCAATGGAAAAAGTTTGAGATGGCGGAGTGGGAATCGATGGCATTTATAAGGAAATGTGAAATACAGAAAACGACAAAATGGCGTGGGGAGTTGGACGACAGTAGATATCTCCAAGATAAAGGCCCTAGTATTACGTGTCTTGTGGAATTATTACAAAATTGTGTTCTGTTCTACCACACACGCAGACGCAGACGCAGACGCAGGAGGAGCATTGTTGATCATCATTAGTTGTTTCCCTGCGCGCTCTACAACAAAACAGATCAATACATTACGTGCACAAGAATACGAAACAATAGGCATGGCATACTATGTATTTATCAATGGGAAATCACGCATATATATCAGCCCCAAACAATGAACCGGACATTTTAAAAAAAGTTGTTCTGATAACATATTTTTACACAAATATTGCATTACCTAGGCTCACTATATATGCTCCATCGCGGCATCATGATCGATTGATCTCCAATGGTCACAACACAAAGGTTGATGACTTCACTAGACACACACATGGATAGTTTCGGGAACGATTTTTGCTATTTCCGTGGACAACTTTTGTCATCCCCAAACCTCATCTTTTTTGTAGTGACCATGAAACACAATTCAGAAGCTCGACCAATCATCAGGTCTTTCTTTACGTTTGCAGAAACTCAGCTTCACTCTAAAATTAAGGCTATTAGAACAGACAATGGCCTTGAATTTCAAATTCCAGATTTCTATAGTTCTAAAGGCACAGTTCATCAGACAACATGTGTCTATACATCTCAACAAAATGGTATATTGTTGAAAGAAAACATCCGCATATTTTAGCTGTTACATGAGCTCTCTTATTTCAAGCCTCCTTACCTTCACAGTTCTTGAACTATGCTGCTATGCATGCAGTTCATCTCAATAATCAACAATGCAACTCCATTTGAAAAGTTGCATGGTGTTTTCCTACACTAAGCCATCTAAAGGTGTTTGGATGTCTCACCTATGCTGCTACTATCCAAGCCACCATAACAAAGCTTGATCCAAGAGCTCACTCCTGCATTTTTTGGGACACCCTCATGGGACCAAAGGTTTCAGATTATACAATCTAACCAGCCACAATACTTTTATATCTAGAGATGTTTCTTTTCATGAAACAATCTTCCCCTTTGCCCAGAAAAATCAAAAACTAGATAGCTCAGTTCTTTTACCAGTTTTTCCAACAGTGACTGCAGAACTGGATTTCACAAACCAGTTTTCCCTCACACCTGTCATATCCATCTCTTCCTCAGTCTACTTCATTATCAGACAATTCTTCTGTTTTACCATCTGCACCCCACACAACTTCCAATCTTACTGAACCTCCACAATTAAGGAGATCCACCAGACAAACTGTCAAACCTGCTAAACTCAAAGATTATAAATGTAATCTAGTCAGTCAAGCAAATCTCATTTCTAAAACCACATATCCAATTCAAGCAATGCTGTCATACAGCTCCCTAAGTTCTAATCACAAACGGTTTGCACTGGCTATTACTCAAACCAGAGAACCCACAATATATAAAGAAGCATCCAAATCTAAGGAATGGTTGCAAGCAGTTAATTCTGAGTTTGCTTCCCTCGGGAAAATCAAAATATGGGTTCTGGTTGACCCTCCCCCAATGTACCAATCATTGGCAACAAATGGGTTTTTCGACTAAAGTTTAAACATGATGGTTCCATTGATAAGTACAAAGCCAGGTTAGTAGCCAAAGGCTACACACAAACACCTGGAGTTGATTACTTGGGTACTCCAATTGTCAATATGACAACAGTTCGAATTCTTCTAGCTCTAGCAGCAATCTACAACTAGCACCTTGAGCCGCTAGATGTCAACATAGCTTTTCTTCATGGAGACCTTAATGAAGAGGTCTACATGAAGTTACCTCCTGGTTTACAAGCTAGTCCATCTGATAAAAATAAAGTCTACAAACTTACCACATCACTTTACGGTTTAAAACAAGCCAGCCGTCATTTGTTTGCCAAGCTTGCTGCCACATTAGAACAATTGGGTTATTAGAAATCCCATAGTGATTATTCCCTTTTCACTAAACACAGTGGTACATCTTTTACTGCTCTCCTAGTATATGTCGATGACATAATCTTAACAGGAAACGATATGCCAGAAATCAAACATGTCAAACATCAGTCGATATTGCTTTCACTCAGTGTTCAAGAACACTCGCCTAGGCGCGTTTAGTAGCTAGGCGAGGAGGAAACGTGGAGAGGAAGCCTGGGCGCAATAAACGCGGAATCGCGTTGAACGACTCCTAGGCGGCGAGTAATAGCTTTGGTCGGCGATTCCAAGCTCTGGGCGACGCCCAGGAAAAAAAAAGATAATGTTGTGCGTTTTGATGGGGCGAATAGGGGAAAACCCTAATGGGTTCTTCGATCAGCTGAGCCACCCACAGTCGACAGCCTCTCTCCTTCGTCACCTCTCTCCCTTCTCCAACAGCTGACCGCTCCAGCCGTGGACTACAGTCGACCGCCTCCAGCAGGGGGCTTCGTCGCCGGCAGCAGCGTCCTCTTCGCCAGTCTCCAAAATCGCGCGCCGTCAGTCTCTACCATACCCAATCGCAAGCATCGCTAGTCTCCAACATCACCAGTCTCTAGCATACCCAATCGCCAGCATCGCCAGTCTCCAGCGCGCCATCGGTCTCCACCATCGCCAGTGCCCAGCCGTGACTCGTCCTCGTCGTCGGTCTGTAGCATTGAAGGTACTACCTTTCTTTCTCTTTCGATATTTATAAGAATCAAGTAACATTTTTTGGTCAGATTGCCATGATAATGTCTTCTAAATATTTCAAGCCGAACGTCAAATAAGTCAAGCATAATATCCTAAACTTACACCATTACTCAACTGAATGAATTCCTAACAGTTCAAGCAAGTGCCTGCCTGCAATCTTTCCTTCGGGCCAAAGCTTGGCTAACATCAATCTTGATGTGCTTTGGGTTATTCGGCAAAAATGATGCAGGAAGCAGAGGGTGCTCCGCTGGAAATTTCAGAAAACAATAGAAAAAGGAATGGTTTGAGGGGTTGTCATCCAATCCAGGAGCAGGACTTTCCTAGGAAAAACACTCAAAAGGGGTTGGAGAATCCACTTAAAGAAAACAAGTCGAAAGACACAAGTAAACTCATAAAATCCTGCTATATTATGCAGAGCAGCTTACTTTTACAGGAGTTAAGAGCTCAATATGCAAGAAAACTAATCCTGTTCTAGTAATAACTCCTCAAAGAACTAATAAAAGACTTCCTATTTTTGCATTTGACAGGGGTTGCTGGATTAAATTGCGTGCCAAGAGGCTAATTAAACTGTGTCTCTAATTATTTGAAAGGCTGCTGAAAATGTGTGTTTGCGAAGCCTAGTAGATTGCTAATTTAGGGACATGATTTGAAAGGCTACTGAAAATGTGTTTTGTGCTTACAGGGGCTGCTTGTTTTTTTGTTAAATGGAGTAGACAGAAGCTACTGTCACGGCTTCAACGGTTGAAAATGCGAACTCCTTGAAGAGGAAGTCTGATGATATTGGTTGGGAATATGGAAAGCTCGTCGATCCAAACAACAAGGATAGAGTCATGTGTAACTTTTGCAAGAATGTAAACACATGAGGAATTAACCGTTTCAAGAAACACATTGCTCAGGTTGGTGGTGGAGTTGCCAAGTGTAAGAGTTGCCCAAATGAAGCTAAATTGGCATGCTTGAAATGGTTGGAAGGAACAGAAAAGAAGAAGCAGGATAAGGTTGTTCGTGAGCTAGGTTTGAGAAGTGATGTTAATGTCTCTTCCGATGGACAACAGGAAGAAGACCTTACTTGTGCAGGTAGCTCTGAACCTCACAAGTTAGGTCCTATAGACAAGTGGGCACGTGCCATTGATCCTAGCTTTTCTTCGAGTGCATCATTTCAGCAACAAAAGTAGATATTAGATGGAAGCTTGTATAATCAATTGTCCTTGCAGATTCATACCAAGAAGAGGAATAGGATTACTACAAGTCGCATGAATCAACTAGTGTACATCCAGTTCAACTCTAGATTGATGTCCAAGCAAAGGAAGATAAAGGAGAGGAAGAATGTTGATGTTCTCATAAGTTCTGATTCAATTGAAGCACAAGGCTTTCTATTTGAGGGAGGAGATAGTCACACTTTGCATGTGTTTGGTGATGAAGATGATGAAGGTTTCGATGGCATTCCATGGAATGTTATTGATGAGGCAAGGGGAGCTAGTGAGAATCTTCAACCTTGCAGGAGTGCCAGATTAGTGAGAGACCTTGTCGATGAGGAGTTTGAGTCTGAAGAAGAAGATGACGAGGAAAGTGAGGCCATTCATTTCGAGGAGGATGAGGAGGATGTTGTGGTTAACAAGAACTATATGGATGAAGATGATGAGTGATCAACTTGGAGTTTATTAACTTGTCATCGCCTTTATGGCTTATCTTAACATTTGTCATATTTTATTATGTTTGTTTCCTTCTATGTTACTACTTGAATGATTGTTATCTTGAATATTGTCAGTTACAGAACTGCAAATCAGTGAACTTATGAATGTTATGTTTGATTTTGCACTCTAAACTTACATATTTATCATTTTTTTTCCGACGTTTAATCTTGCCTAGGCAACGACTAATCGGTCTGGGCGCTGGGTGGTGCCTCCTCGCCTAGGTGGCGCCCAACGTCTTCTTGAACATTGCTTTCACTATGAAAGACCTAGGCCCGTTGAAATACTTCATCGGGATGGAGGTTTCCAGGTCTGCAACAGGCATCCACCTGTGTCAAAGGAAATACATACTTGATCTCCTCTTTGAAACAGGGTTCCTGGCCTCTAAACCAACTACCACTCCTTCTATACCTGCCACTCATCTTTCTGCACATGAAGGAACATTACTGAATGAAACTGATCATAGCATCTACAAGACTTTAATTGGTAGAATTCAGTACTTATACAATACTCGTCCTCACATCTGTTACACTGTAAATCAGTTGAGTCCATATGTTGATTCCCCTACAACAATCC